TCCCTCCATGCTAGATTTGATATTTACCAGGAAGGAGGAAGAGATATTTGACATTCAGTACCTTCCTCCCTTGGGTAAAAGTGACCATGTCTTTTTGGGAATAAAGTATGCAATGCGTTATAAGCTGGAAGAAAATAAGGAGGTTGAAGCAGTTGAAAAACCAGACTTCAGGAGAGGACATTATGGTGACCTTAGAAATTTTTTTAGTGAGTATAATTGGACAGACTTGATGCTAGGCAAGGAAGTGAATGAGATGTATGGCAAGTTTTGTGAAATATATGATAAAGGCACAAAAAAATTTATACCAAAACAGAGATGCAGAACTAGGAAACAGGATTGGTTCAATAGAAATTGCGAGAGGGCTAGAGACCGAAAGACACAAAAATGGAATCAATACAGGAAGAGGCCGAACCCCCAAACATACCAGCGATACAAAGATGCGAGAAACAACTACACGGCAGTGAGGAGAGAGGCAGAAAGAAATTTTGAAAAAGGGATTGCGGACAAATGTAAAACAGAACCAGGTCTATTCTATAAATTCATAAACAACAAATTGCAGGTAAAGGATAATATTCAGAGGTTGAAAATGGGAAATAGATTCACGGAAGATGAAAAGGAAATGTGTGAAACACTAAACGAAAAGTTCCAAAGTGTGTTTGTACAAAATGAAATCTTTAGGGAACCAGATACAATAAGAATTCCAGAGAACAACATAGAACACATAGAGGTGTCTAGAGACGAAGTGGAAAAAATGCTCAAGGAGCTCGGTAAGAACAAAGCAGCTGGCCCAGATGGCGTTTCACCATGGGTTCTGAGAGAATGTGCATCTGAGCTCAGCATTCCACTTCACCTGATCTTTCAGGCATCCCTGTGTACAGGAATCGTAGCAGACGGGTGGAAACAGGCTAACATAGTTCCAATCTACAAAAGTGGCAGCAGGGAAGACCCCCTCAATTATAGACCTGTATCATTGACAAGTGTAATAGTGAAAGTATTGGAAAAACTAATCAAAACTAAATGGGTAGAACACCTAGAGAGAAATGATATAATATCAGACAGACAGTATGGTTTTCGATCTGGAAGATCCTGTGTATCGAATTTACTCAGTTTCTATGATCGAGCCACAGAGATATTACAGGAAAGAGATGGTTGGGTTGACTGCATCTATCTGGACCTAAAAAAGGCTTTCGACAGAGTTCCACATAAGAGGTTGTTCTGGAAACTGGAAAATATTGGAGGGGTGACAGGTAAGCTTCTATCATGGATGAAAAATTTTCTGACTGATAGAAAAATGAGGGCAGTAATCAGAGGCAATGTATCAGAATGGAGAAATGTCACAAGTGGAGTACCACAGGGTTCAGTTCTTGCACCAGTGATGTTTATTGTGTACATAAATGATCTACCAGTTGGTATACAGAATTATATGAACATGTTTGCTGATGATGCTAAGATAATAGGAAGGATAAGAAATTTAGATGACTGTCATGCCCTTCAAAAAGACCTGGACAAAATAAGTATATGGAGCACCACTTGGCAAATGGAATTTAATGTTAATAAATGTCATGTTATGGAATGTGGAATAGGAGAACATAGACCCCACACAACCTATATATTATGTGAGAAATCTTTAAAGAATTCTGATAAAGAAAGAGATCTAGGAGTGGTTCTAGATAGAAAACTATCACCTGAGGACCACATAAAGAATATTGTGCAAGGAGCCTATGCTATGCTTTCTAACTTCAGAATTGCATTTAAATACATGGATGGCGATATACTAAAGAAATTGTTCATGACTTTTGTTAGGCCAAAGCTAGAATATGCAGCTGTTGTGTGGTGCCCATATCTTAAGAAGCACATCAACAAACTGGAAAAGGTGCAAAGACATGCTACTAAGTGGCTCCCAGAACTGAAGGGCAAGAGCTACGAGGAGAGGTTAGAAGCATTAAATATGCCAAAACTAGAAGACAGAAGAAAAAGAGGTGATATGATCACTACATACAAAATAGTAACAGGAATTGACAAAATCGACAGGGAAGACTTCCTGAGACCTGGAACTTCAAGAACAAGAGGTCATAGATTTAAACTAGCTAAACACAGATGCCGAAGAAATATAAGAAAATTCACCTTCGCAAATAGAGTGGTAGACGGTTGGAACAAGTTAAGTGAGAAGGTGGTGGAGGCCAAGACCGTCAGTAGTTTCAAAGCGTTATATGACAAAGAGTGCTGGGAAGACGGGACACCACGAGCGTAGCTCTCATCCTGTAACTACACTTAGGTAATTACACTTAGGTAATTACAAGGAGGACTGCTTGAGGCTTCAAGAAGACCAAGACAAGCTGAAGGAATGGTCGAACAAATGGTTGTTAGAGTTTAATCCAAGCAAATGTAATATAATGAAGATAGGCGTAGGAAGCAGGAGGCCAGATACTAGGTATCATCTGGGAGATGAAATTCTTAAAGAGTCAGAGACAGAAAAAGACTTGGGGGTTGACATCACGCCAGACTTGTCCCCTGCAGCCCATATCAAGAGGATAACGTCAACGGCATATGCCAGGCTGGCCAACATAAGAACAGCATTCAGAAACTTGTGTAAAGAATCATTCAGAACTTTGTATACCACATATGTCAGGCCAATCCTGGAGTATGCAGCCCCAGCATGGAGTCAAGGATAAAACCAAACTGGAAAAGGTTCAAAGGTTTGCCACCAGACTAGTACCCGAGCTGAGAGGTATGAGCTACGATGAGAGGCTACGGGAATTAAACCTCACTTCGTTGGAAGACAGAAGAGTTAGGGAGGACATGATCACCACATTCAAGATTCTCAGGGGAATTGATAGGCTAGATAAAGACTGGATATTTAACACAAGGGGCACACGCACTAGGGGACACAGGTGGAAACTGAGTGCCCAAATGAGCCACAGAGATATTAGAAAGAACTTTTTTAGTGTCAGAGTGGTTGACAAATGGAATGCATTAGGAAGTGATGTGGTGGAGGCTGACGCCATACATAGTTTCAAGTGTAGATATGGTAGAGCCCAGTAGGCTCAGGAACCTGTATACCTGTTGATTGATGGTTGAAAGGCGGGACCAAAAAGCCAGAGCTCAACCCCCGCAAACACAATTAGGTGAGTACACACAGGAAGCAGCCTGTGACAGCTGACTAACTCTCAAGTACCTATTTACTGCTAGGTAACAGGGGCATTAGGGTGAAAGAAACTCTGCCCATTGTTTCTCGCCGGCGCCCGGTATCGAACCCGGGACCACAGGATCACATGCCCAGTGTTCTGTTCACTCAGCCACCGGCTCACCAGTGTTGTGATAGCTGAGACGAGGCCTAGAGCAGGGCAGAGAGCTTGACTAAGGCTGGGGGTAGAGAGCTCGGATGCAGGGTGAGAGTGTAGAGTGTGGAGCTCTGAATGCGGGCTGGGATGAAGAACTTAATTGCGAGACGAGAGCGTGGAAGCTCGATGTAGCCGGAATCTGGATGTCTGCTCCATAGGGAGGCTGAAGCATCTTGTGAGGATAGGAACTGGACTTGTCAAGTGTTTCATTGTTGCTGGTGAATGTCGATGGGTGTTGAAGATGTGCAGTATCTCATCTCTCTTGATATTCTTGAGAATATCTTGAGATGATTTAGGGGCTTAGCGTTTCTGCGGCCTGGTCCTCGACCAGGCCTCCTTTGTCTTGAGTGTCTGTACTGAACAACTAAACGAGTTTAGACTGACTCCGCTCTGCATACAATGACTTATATTACAAGGTTTTCCTCACCGTGGCCAAACTGACCAACATCTAGCAGGTTGAGAAGAGATATTAATTGTTATTAGCTGTACACTTAGGTATTGTAATTAGTAGAGCTAGGATTAGGTAAAGTGTGGCAGTCCCAACAGTCCCCGTGGCTTAGTGGTAAGACACTCGCCTGGCGTTTCGCGAGTGCTTTGGCCTGGGTTCGTATCCTGGTCGGGGAGGATTTACTGGGTGACAATCCTTATCTGTAGTCTCTGTTTACCCAACATTAAAATGTGTACCTGGTTGTTAAACGATTTGGTGGGTAGTATTCCAGGGAATATTAGAATTAAAGCCTTGCCCGAAATGCAATGCATGCTAGTAGCTGGTCAAGAATGTAAAAACTCTTGTATATATAAATACAAAAAAAAAAGTAGAACTTCTTGGAATTTGGAACACTTGGAGGTAGGTTATGAGGAATTAACAAGAACATCTTATTACTGTATCTGCACTTAAGTTAATGAGAATATGGAGCAAGTATATTACCTCTTAATACAGTTGCTACAAACTAATGAGAACTGCTTCAAAATCAGTTCATTCATCTTGGGGCTTCATGGTCTCTCTTTCTATAGTGTGTATACCTTGCTGTTTGTATGTTTTGGGTCACCTTTTTGGTGGCCATTTCTTGGTTTGAGTAATCTAGGATCCCCTGTTCCTTACCCTGTGGCCAAGTTTTGGCCTCCAATTGCCAGCAGGCTTACAAGACTTGCAAGAGCTTAGTGTGGATGGAATTGGATGGAGCTCGCCTGACAGCTCAGTGGACAGCGCTTCGGATTCGTAGTCCTAAAGTTCTGGGTTCGATCCCCGGTGGAGGCAGAGACAAATGGGCAAAAATGTTCTTTCACCCTGATGCCCCTGTTACCTAGCAGTAAATAGGTACCTGGGAGTTAGATAGCTGCTACGGACTGCTTCCTGGGGCTGTGTAACAAAAAGGAGACCTGGTCGAGGACCGGGCCGCGGGGACGCTAAGTCCCGAAATCATCTCGAGATAACCTCAAGATAGCCAACACCAAAAAGCCACGAAGGTTCCACCAGAAAGAGACATTTCATTACACTCTATGCTGCTGTTCATGTTGTGTGTTTATTAGCCCTCGGCTACTTATACCAATACTGAGGAGTACTAGCACCAGAGCTTCACAATGCAGTACTTCATCTACTAAACATGAATTTGCTTCTCATTATCTAGTTATTCTATAGCCTAATTTCTCTTGTTTCAGAAAATGTCCTAGTGCTGATTGACACTGCAGGATGTGACTGTTGGGAGTTGGATACCCCAGATGACCAGAGTAAAGGCAATGTTAGTGAAGCTATCATAGTCAGCTGCCAAGTTCAAGCTCTCATATCATCTGGGGTACCTGAGAATGATATTGCTGTGATTACACCATATAACTTGCAGGTAGAGTTTTGTTAAGTTGAATTCAGTAGCTGTATTTCAATTAACCATACAGTACAGCATCACAGTAAAGTCATGTAATAATAGATTCACTTTAGTCAGTTTTGTGAATATGTTTTTTATATTATTGTTTGATATGTAATCTGTAAAATAATGCCATATGTCAGTTTATTTAAAAGATTTTATGTACTATACAGTAGTTTACGTTTAGATTAAGTCAGCTGCTAACATGAATGAATTCCAATGAGTTTGCTTGGTGGCAGCTCAGGCGAGCATTAATCACAGGCACAAATATTTGTGTGATCCACTAAAAAATTGTGTGATCCACTGAAAGTATTATGTATAAAATATACATAATATATTACAAAGGTTTATTTGTAGGTACAGAAGTTGCATATTAAATAAAGCCACTCATACACATATTACAGTACCTTGTACAGTACAATATCAATAACTGTTTTAAATTTTTTCAGGTGGAACTTGTGCGTAGTCTTCTCAGAGTTAGTCACCCTAGTGTTGAAGTGCGGTCAGTAGATGGCTTTCAGGGCCGAGAAAAGGAAGCTGTTGTTATGTCTCTTGTTCGTTCAAACAAACAAGGTGAGTACTGTACTGTAGTTGGAATTTGACATAGCACTTTGGTACCTGTTTTTCTGTACATCAACCTGCTTTTGGCAATAACATTAATGTTGCTAAAGAAGATAATGATTGGATATTTTCTGGGAACATTCATAAGATATTGAACATTCATAAAAAAATAGATATTGTAAATATTCATCTTTTTACAAAAGCCTCTCCTGAAGCTTTCCCACTTGGGCTACGTCTTCCCTACCTGGTCTGTAATTACCTAGGTGTAATTACCTAGGTGTAGTTACAGGATGAGAGCTACGCTCGTGGTGTCCCATCTCCCCAGCACTCTTTGTCATATAGCGCTTTGAAATTACTGACAGTTTTGGCCTCCACCACCTTTTCACCTAACTTGGTCCAACCATCTACCACTCTGTTTACAAAAGTGAATTTTATATATCTCCGGCAGCTTTGTTTTGTTAATTTAAATCTATGACCTCTTGTTCTTAAAGTTCTGGGTCTCGGGAATTCTTCCCTATCAATTTTATCAAGTCCTGTTACTATTTTGTACATAATGATCATATCGCCTCTTTTTCTTCTATCATCTAGTATTTGCATATTTAATGCCTCTAACCTCTCCTTGTAGCTCTTGTCCTTCAGTTCTGGGAGCCACTTAGTGGCATGTCTTTGCACCTTTTCCAGTTTGTTGATGTGCTTCTTAAGATATGGGCACCATACAACTGCTGCATATTTCAGCTTTGGTCTAACAAAAGTTGTGAAAAAAACACCTGTGGGTGTGGAAGAGTGCTTTACCCTGGGGCCCTTGCCTGCGGTTCCTGGGGCTCAGGAGGGGGTTCTGATTGGAGCTCTTGGGTTTCTTTTGACATTTTGTGGGCCCTTGTGACTTCCCTGGAGGGTCTTTTGTTGCAGGGTGTTGGGTTTTTTTTATCCCCCTTCCCTATATGAGTTTGAGTTATGGGGGGCTTCCCCAAGGTTTGTTTTTGGGTGCCTTTGTGCTCCTCAGATTCGTCTTTCCAGAAACGTCGTCGTCCCTTCACCTTCTAGTGTGTGGTCTGGTCAATGTCTTTCTGGAGGTTTCCTTCTTCCTTGGTTTCCCTGGCAGAGGCTCGGGATGCCCTCCTGCGTGACCCGGTTTGCGTCTCGGTAATGGACCCAGCCTCTTTTGAGTTCGGTTCTTCTTCCCCACATTGGATGCGTTACGAGGTTCCGGAGTCATCCTGGCTAGCAGACTGTCCTTTGTTTTCGTTGGGATCTTGGCACAGCTTTAGTCATACCCAAACGCTTGATTGGCGGGAGGTGTCTCCTGTGGTGCAGGTTTTTCTGTGGGCTCTCTTGAGTACCTCAATTCTTGCCTCTTTGCTCCTGCCCTTTCCTGTGATGTTGATCTGGTGCAGCTGCACGCTCAAGTTCCTCTTCTTTTGGCACCTTTGGTTGCTGACAATTTTCAGAGTCGTTCCCACTTGGATTTGGTTGTGTGGTTCTTGTGTCTCCAGAACTGTCTTCTGATTGGCTTGCATAGGATGTGGGGTCGCTCAGTGAGATATCTCTTGCGGGGTTTTTTGTCGCAGTGGCTTCAACTTTGTCTGCCTTGCTTAAGCTGGATGCGCCAATCCTCCAAGAGCCGGTTTCCTTGCTTTTCACCACCACCTCATGTGTCAGCAGGCTGTGCTGGCTCATGCTTTGAATTTAGCGTGGGCACCTGGCTCTTCTTTCCGCTTCTCCTTTTTCTCCTCTGCTTTTACCTTAGGACTTGGTTGCTCAGTTTTGGTAGGTAGCTTTGATGAGTTGCTGTCCATCTCTGACTTTTTGTGTGTCCAAGGGGGGGGGGGGGGCAAGCCCCTCCTATAAACATTTCCTACTGTTGGTTGAAGTGGAGATTCTGTGGTGCCTGCAGCTGGGGTTGTCTCATCTTCCCGGCCATGCTTGATTGGTCAAAAAGCTGGTTCTTGAGGTTCCCGTCAGCCCTTTCACAGCTCGCCCCTTTAACAGGGCAATGGGGAAGAGGGGTGTATCTGTCTCTATTTGCCCCACACTTCGTCCCACGATTTGTGTGTTTTCGGGTCATGACGCATGGCCTGTGGTGGCGTTGGACGGTCTCTCCTCCTTCACGGGGTTCAGGCCTGATGGGGGGTATGCCTCTTCTCCTTTCCTCCATAGTCATTTTGGAGGGGTTGTGCCCGGGCATTGTCGAAACAATCTTGTCTCTTCAGTGGGTTTCCTGCATTTTTCTGGTCCCGAAACGGGATTGTGTGGATCTCCAGTACATTCTGGATTTATTCAGTCTGAACCAATTCCATTCTATGGCCCTCTTTTCAAATGACTCTTTGTCCTAGGTCTGTCTCATGCTCAAGCCTGGTGCTTGGATAATATCCCTGGACCTCAAAGGATGTGCCTATTGGCACATCCTTTGTCCTTATTGGCACATTGTTGTGCCTATTGGCACATCCCTATTCATCTGGAGGTTCAGGGAATGGTTAGGTTTTGTCGTAGTGCAACAACTTACCACTTTTGGGCTCTCCCATTTGGACTGAATCTAGCACCGTGCCTTTTTACGCGCTTGATTCGGGTCGTAGTGGCCCATCTTAGTTTGTTAGGACTGAGGATGTTCGCCTACCTCGACAACTTGCTGGTGTGGGCTCCCAGTCAGTCTGCTTGTCTGCTAGCCAGGAATCTGGTTCTTTCCAAGCTTGCCTGTTTCAGGTTTCTGGTGAAGTGGAGGAAGTTCCAGTTGGTTCCATCCCTGGTTTGAATCTGGTTGAGACTGACTTGGGCTTCAAGGTCAGCATTGCTCTCCCTGCCTTGCAGCCTTCATTCTGCAGACTTGCTCCCTTCTTTCTGCAGTTTTGCTCTGGGTGCAGTCCTGCCATCTGCTGCTTTTGAGAGGGACTCGGGTTACACGATGGCTGGTCAAACAGTTGTGTGGGAATCTGAACTTTGCCCTTCTGATTTTCCCTTTAGGCAGGTTTTGGCTTCGGAAGCTGTTCTGGTTCCTTTTGGGCAGCCTCCTTCACTGCTCTCACGATTACTGTGTTCAGATCCCGGTGTCCCTGCGCCGGTTGCTGCCTCAGCGATTGGTTAGGGCTTTGTGACCAGTGCTCACCAGTCCGGCCAGGGTCGTAGGCATTCACTTCGTTGGGCTCATGCCCAATCATTTGGGCTGGGCAGTAGAGCGACGGTCTCGCTTCATGCAGATTGGGGTGTTCAATCCTTGACTGTCCAAGTGGTTGGGCACATTCTTTTCCCCCATCCCATTCCAGATTCATATCCTCATCTCTTCTAAGTGCTATATAGTTGTACTGGGTCTCCTGATAGTTCCCTTCCCTTCATTAGGCTCTCAGCACAAGGTGGGAGTTTGTGGCAGGTACTGCAGAGAGTTCAGAGTCCTCCTGGCTCGGTGATCTGGGCTCCATTCAGATTGTTCCCCCCTTCCCCCCAGGGTTCATAGTCTCAACAGTAGATCACAAGCACATGATCTCATGTACTCAGATCACAAGCTCATTGAAGTGAAAACTGACATCAATACTCAGAATAGACCTAAAACCATGATCAAGCAAGATGGGTTATTCAGTAAATTCAATTTTAATAATAAAAGGATAGACTAGGAGACTATAAACAGGGAACTTACAAATATTTAATGGGAAACTGTTCTAAGTAATACAAGTCCTACAGAAGGAATAGAAAACCTGACTTCGGAAGCATATCAACTCTGTCTGAAACATGTTCCTTTGAGGAAAGCCAGAAAGAGGTCCAACGTAGAAAGGGAACGCAGACAACACTATAAAATAAGGACAAAAATAATGGAAATGCTAGGGGTATAATATCCTTTCTTCCCCACAGGTGCATGTAATTTTGAAAAAAAAAAAATTATTTTTTCTTCCTAACCTGTTAATTTGTGTTCACTGATCACGGGAAAAATAATAAAAAAATCGTAAGTGGCATATATTGCTCGCTATAGGGCGGGAAAGTCTGGCAAAAAATAGGTGCTGACTCAGCGCGTCCCAGGCGGCGGTCTGTTGCTCGCCAGCTGTCAGGCCGGAGTTGCCACAAAGAGATAATTACCGAATTATTTCAATGTCTCTGATTGATTTTTCATAGTTTTTTTGCTGTAATATTATTCAATAGTGTGTAGTTTGATATATTTATATAATAAAATGAGTGAATCATTGCTGTACTCAAAAATATGGTGTGCATATTGTTGATTCAATTATGTTCATCAATCAGTGAACAAATACTTTATCCGTTATTACACTATAAGCACAGGTTATATATAAGTATCTGCATGTTTTGTTCACTATAACGAACCACTAAGTAGCTATTATGAGTCAAAAAGTAACGAGGCGTGACCGCCGTGTACCAGCCAACCACTCCCGCCCTCCCTCAAGTCATCTGACTCACCCACATTCTCCTCCCACAATACTGTTTTTGAAATAATTCACTATATACAGACGTTATATATAAGTATCTACATGTTTTGTTCACCATAACTGTACATCTAAGCTTGTATGGTGAGTAAAGGCACAAAGACGTAGGACCTCACACAGTCAGCTGATGGCTGCCGCCCTCAAGGCCAGACGCACTAATATTTCTCCTCCAACAATACTGTGTAGTGTTATTACGCTATATACACACATTATATATAAATATCTACCTGTTTTATTCACCATACTTGTACAAATAAACTGGTATGGTGCCCAAAGACCATCGTGGTAACCAGTAAACAACACCGTCGTCTGCACGGTGGCGTCGTTCAGACGACGCTACCGCCCTCACCAAAATGGTGGCTCCCAACCCTTCTCTTGCTGTTTATACCCTCTATACACACGTTATATATAAGTATCTACATTTGTGTTCACCATAGCGAACCACTAAGCTGGTATGGTGAGTGCAGTCAATAAAAGGTGGCCACACACAGTCAGAAGACATCACCACTACCCTCCCTCCCACAGCCTTACTCCTCCCTCCATGGCGCACAGCGCTAAATATCACCACAATCCTGCTATTATCAGAACCCTGGTCAGTTTTATCAGTCAGGGATCTTCTGTAATAATATCATCGCTACATAATAGCATGAACAAGTATATTTTGGCATTTTTAGCCGATGCTGTGGTCACAAGCTGAACAGCAGTGCTGTTAGCTCATGCTGCGTGCGTCAGGCTTGGTTGCTCACTCAATACTGAGGCCAATAACAACCGGGAGTTTGGGCCACGATTTTTTTAAAAAATGGTGTCTGTTTACAAGAGCCCTGATGAAGGTGTGGTGAACCCCGTGTATCCGCGGGCCGTTTAAATCTTGCGTAGTACTCCAACACGTCATATGACATGATGCGCACTTTAAGGGTTAAGCAGACACGATTTTCCCTACAAAGAAGGAATAATTGAAATAGGGAGATTGAAGAAATCGAGTGGAAATTGAAAGACTGAAGAAAGGCAGTTAGAACAGAAACCAATTCAGGAAATAAAGAAAAATCCAAAATACTTCTTCACATACGCAAAATCAAAAGCAAAAACCACTGCCAGTATTGGACCTATTCGTATGAGTGAAGGTTCATACACGGAGGATGACAAAGAAATTAGTTAAATTCTAAAAAAGCAGCGTGGAAGACATGTTTAGCACTCTAATAAAAACATGAAAGTGAAAGATTCAGACAATTTCTTTATGCATGATATCCAACCTTCCCTTCCCCCCCTGTAAATATAATTGATATCAACACGAGCGTACTAGATTTTGAAAGAGAAATTGAAAATATGCCCATGCACTCAGCTCCAGGTCCAGACTCATGGAATTCAATATTTATAAAGAAATGCAAAGTGCTGGTAGCACAGGCACTCAGTATAGTGTGGAGGAAGAGCTTGGACATGGGGGAGATACCAGATGCATTTCATTTAGCAGACATAGCCCCTCTACATAAGGGAGGGAGCAAAGCATTGGCAAAGAATTATAGACCAGTTGCACTAACATCGCACATCATAAAAGTATTTGAGAGAGTGATCAGGAGTCAGGTCACCAGTTTCATGGAGACCAATGACCTTCACAACCCAGGCCAACATGGATTTCGAGCGGGAAGATCATGCCTCTCACAGCTACTTGATCCAAATACAAGGCACAGCTTCATATCATCCTTTGCAGATGACACAAAAATCAGCATAAAAATTACCTCTGCTTAAGACATTGAAAAACTTCAAGCAGATATTAAAGTTTTCAACTGGGCAGCAGAAAATAACATGATGTTTAACAGCGATAAATTCCAGGTACTCAGATACAGTAAAAATGAGGACCTCAAACATTATTCAGGGTACAAAACACAATCAAATGTGCCTATAGTAGGAAAGCAGCATGTAAAGGATTTGGGAATAATGATGTCTGGCGACCTAATGTTCAGGGAGCATAACCAGGCAAATATTGCGGCAGCCAGAAGAATGATAGGATGGATTACGAGAACTTTCAAATCCAGGGATCCCATCGCAATGGTTGTACTATACAAATTACTTGTACTGTACCGTCTTGAGTACTTCTCAGTACTCGCTTCCCCCTTCAGAGCAGGAGATATTGCTGAAATAGAGGGAATACAGAGATCATATACGACATACATAGATGCAATAAAGCACCTAAATTATTGGGATCATCTTAAAGCTCTCCAAATGTACTCACTAGAAAGAAGATGAGAAAGATATCAAATAATATTCTGTACACATGGAAGAGATTGTAGGGGAAGGTACCAAATCTACACAGTAAAATAACAACATACTGGAGTGAACGATATGGAAAAAAATGCAGAATAGAACTAGTGAAGAGCTGGAGTGCCATAGGCACAATCAGAAAACATTGTATAAACATCAGAGGTCTAAGGTTGTTCAATATCCTCCTAGCAAGCATAAGAAATATTGCGGGAACAAGTGTGGACATCTTCAAGAGAAAACTAGATAATTTTCTCTGAGGAGTGCCGGACCAACTGGGCTGTGGTGGATATATGGACCTGCGGGCCGCTGCAAACAACAGCCTAGTGGACCAAACACTCACAAGTCAAGCCTGGCCTCGAGCCGGGCTTGGGGAGTAAAAGAACTCCCAGAACCCCATCAAGCAGGTATTGGGTCGTTTTGGTCCATGGCTCAGAGGGGCTGGTCGCTTTGAATAGCTCATCTGTCGAGTTCTCGGGGTTTACATCTCCGTGCCGTTTGTGTTCAGGATGTGTCCAACGTTGAGGGCCAACAGTCTATCTCACTTCCTTCATCTTTCAATGAAATAGACCGTTGATGCTGATTCCTTTTTCTGGGACGTTCGAGCACCCAGAAGAGGTTCCTAGGTTGTGGAAGCTTGGTTGGTTCGGCCAGGGATGCATCACGTGCTTTGTCCAGTTTTGGCTTTATGCCATTACCTTCTTACCACCAGTTCTCTGTCTTGGTGGACTTGTTATGGGTTGATCAGGTTTCTCTGATTCCCTGTTCCAGGGCTTGTGTTTCTCAGGTTGTTTGCTGTGTCATTAAAGCTAGCCAGCCTGCAGTCTACCCCTGGGGTCACGATGTTGGCAAGCATGCTGCCTTTTTGGCCACTTTTGGTAATGTCTTGGGCAAATTTTTGGGCATGATGGGGGTTTTGGAGGTCTAAAGGTTTAGTTTTAACTTTTCTCTGTCTTCTGTTGAGTGGTGTCATCTTAATGATCATATTTTCCCATTGTGCAATTTCCTAGCATTCTTAAGCACTTCTGTCATTTGTTATACTCCATTAAATGTCACCTTTAAAGGGCAATTCGTGACTTTCATATTTGCCTGGCCTAAAATAACTGAAATTTTTCTTTGTTGTGATGCCTTCTTCTAAACCTACTATTTTCTCAATTATTTTTTCCCCTGCTACTGCTGTCTACCCTACGTGGTATTTATTGTGGACTTAATTCTATCTGGAGTGTTTTGTACTAATTTACTGTTACAGTAATAACCAGTTCTTCCCTAATTGCTGGTCTAATGTTTGCTTCCCGTTGCTTATATGTTCTTGAATTCCAAACATATTTCTTTTATCATTTCTTTCCCTTTCACAACTTCTGCTTATTTGTTTTATTTCCTCTTTGCAGGTTTCCAATCCTTCATTAACCTCCTCCTATTTGAGCAATCAGTGAAGTTTCTCTTTGCATATCCTTGCCTAATTTCCTGTCTGGACTAACCTGTAGGGTTTGTGCATGCTTGTATCGAGGTTCCCGTAAGGTTGAACTACTAACTCTCTCCAGGATGAAACCCCACAACATTTACCTAACTCCTGGTTACCTATTTACTGCTAGGTGAACAGGGATTAGGTGAAAGGAAATGTGACCAACCATTTCTATCCTGTCCGGGAAGTAAACATGGGATCCCCAATTGTAAGTTCAGAATGAAGTCAACTATACTATGATAACATTTCTGTTCACCTCATATCATTATCATGACAGACCAAAATATCCAATTTCCATAACCATTTCATGGGTTTGCTGTGAATTTGCAAAGTATGTTGGCATTTAGGAACTGCTTTCTTTTATGATATTGAAATCAGTATTTGAGAATGCTTCAGTTGCCCTTTTGAAAGCATTTAACATATGATACTTCATTGGCTGAAAAGTCTTATAGAAGACTTCATGAAACCATCTTTGAAACTATTGCAGTCTCATAAATTGATTTTATTTCAATGCTTCAGAAATTTCTTTGTATGATATTTATCTGACAACTTTATATTGTACACAATACTGTACAGGTATTTAATTTATCTAAACAAATTATAAGCTATTATGAGAGGAAAATGTTTTAGGAAGTAAAAGAATAATTGTTCTTTGTTGCTTAATTTCAGGGTCAGTGGGGTTTTTGAGTGAAGATCGGCGATTGAACGTAGCGGTGACTCGAGCAAGACGCCACTTATGTGTTGTATGCGACTCAGACACTGTTAACAAACATAGTTTTCTGAAGAACTTTATTGATTATATTTCACAACATGGTCAGGTTAGGACTGCACATGAATTTCAGCGTGGTAAGTGGAATACATGTTATTTTATTGTTTTATTATTTTATTATTTTATTATTATTTTATTATTTTTTATTATTTTATTAATATTATTTTATTATTCTATTATTGTACTTTTCTGGGGGGAGCCCCTTCGGCTCCCCGGAGCTTATCCAGGCTGATAGGCTAATGTCAGACTTTGGCATCAGTCATGTGTATGGAGTTCTATGGGCCTAGGACCACGAGCCAGAACTTGGCCCCCTCAGAGAGGCAAGGGGGAGCAATGGCCTATTGAAACCCTCGTGTGGTTGGAAGCATTCTATGTCTGCCATCGACCGGGCCAGGCATCCAGAAAGGTAAGCGTCCCAAAACAAACCCCTATTCGAGTGAAAATTGAAAATTCCCCGGGAGGGGGAAGGGGGAGCCCCAGACCTACCGTGCCAGCTATCCACCCATCAGTTCTTCGGCTGATGCTAAAGGCTGAGGTCATGTGCTCCGGCACCGGTGGTTGTTTCAGCACTGTACCTAGAATGTGGTGACTGTCTTCTAGGTGGTGCGTGAACCGGGAGTGATTCTCCAGTACTCGGGCTGCATGTGCCTAGGGTTTCCTTCCCTAGTTGCCCTGTAAGTACTGTCCTTGGGACTAGGGGCCACCTTCCACAAGTTCCTTGGATTCTGCCTCTGCTAGTCCGTTTACTGCTTGGTTTTTGGCCGCCCTTTGTGTGCTCGGGTGTTCTGTCTCCCTTGTTCGCCTTAGGGTAAGGGGCAGTTTTGCACTGGTGGGGCGCAGGGTGCTGCGCAGCTTGTTTTCATCAATCATAGCGGCCGACTCTGTTCCGCCTGGGTACGCTGTCCTCTTGCGGGGTTTTCTTTTTCTTTATCTGCCTGGTGGGGGGTCTGCCTTCGTTCTTGCCCCTTATGTCCCCTGTGTTTTGAGTATTATTCCTTCTTCCGGTGGTTCCCCCCGCTAGGTCCCCGTGAGCGTACACATCCTGGGGGTTCAGTTCTTAGAAGGTTGTTTCAGCACTGTACCTAGAATGTGGAGACTGTAGCTTTGGGCGCCGGTTAGCAGTACCCTGCCTGGGATTACCTGAGCGCGAGTCTTCTTATAGTAAATGCTCAGGACTCTGGGGGTGCACGGGTCCGATAAATGTGACATCTGAGTCCCCCCTCGCTTCCAGCGAGTTTGAGGGTTGCTCTCACCCCTTGTCTCAGGGTGACTCTCTGTCTTTGCCTCTGCCTGCAGCCTGTGGGGTCAGTGACACCTTCGGCTCGGAGTCCTGCGAGTTTTGTTGCCTGTTGTGGCTCGATTACCCAGTCTTATGCTGACTTTGCAGGTGCAGGCAGCACGGGCGTTGCACGTTGAGCTTGGATGGTGGCAACGCTCTTGGTTGTTTGCTCCCTGGAAGCCCCGAGGCTGCCCTGTTTTGGTTGGTGGTGGGGCTTGGGGGTGTTGGTTGCTTTGGTTCCTTTCACGCCCCCTTGTCTTTTCCCTGTTGTGATCTAATCTGGTCCACCCTTTCTACCTGCATCCGGATCCTTACCGTCTGTGGGTTAGGGGTGGGGCAGGGTCGTTGGTTTTGAGACTCTGGCGATCTTGGGGAATTCCCCCTTCCGGGGTAGCAACGGGGGCATTAGAGCCTGTTCCTCCAGCCGTGTTGTAAGAGTCTGCCAGCGAGCTCCCTTCCTTAGTATTTTCGCAGTTGCGCCGGTTTTTTCTTGAGGCCGGGGCTTTGGGAGAACGGCTTGGCCCCGGGCATGATGTACTCACCTAGTTGTGCTTGCGGGGATTGAGCTCTGGCTCTTTGGTCCCGCCTCTCAACCGTCAATCAACAGGTGTACAGGTTCCTGAGCCTATTGGGCTCTATCATATCTACACTTGAAACTGTGTATGGAGTCAGCCTCCACCACATTGCTTCCTAATGCATTCCATTTGTCAACCACTCTGACACTAAAAAAGTTCTTTCTAATATCTCTGTGGCTCATTTGGGCACTCAGTTTCCACCTGTGTCCCCTAGTGCGTGTGCCCCTTGTGTTAAATAGCCTATCTTTATCAACCCTGTCGATTCCCTTGAGAATCTTAAATGTGGTGATCATGTCCCCCCTAACTCTTGTGTCTTCCAACGAAGTGAGGTTCAATTCCCGTAGCCTCTCATCGTAGCTCATACCTCTCAGCTCGGGTACTAGTCTGGTGGCAAACCTTTGAACCTTTTCCAGTTTAGTCTTATGCTTGACTAGATATGGACTCCATGCTGGAGCCGCATACTCCAGGATTGGTCTGACATATGTGGTATATAATGTTCTGAAAGATTCCTTACACAAGTTTCTAAAGGCCGTTCTTATGTTAGCCAACCTAGCATATGCTGCTGATGTTATCCTCTTGATATGAGCTTCAGGGGACAGGTCTGGCGTGATATCAACCCCCAGGTCTTTCTCTCTCTCTGACTCTTGAAGTATTTCATCTCCCAAGTGATACCTTGTATCTGGTCTCCTGCTTCCTACTCCTATCTTCATTACATTACATTTACTTGGGTTAAACTCTAACATCCATTTGTTCGACCATTCCTGCAGCTTGTCCAGGTCTTCTTGAAGCCTCATGCTGTCCTCCTCTGTCTTAATCCTTCTCATAATTTTGGCGTCGTCAGCAAACCTTGAGAGGAATGAATCTATACCCTCTAGGAGATCATTTACGTATATCAGAAACAGGATAGGTCCAAGCACAGAGCCCTGTGGGACTCCACTGGTGACTTCCCGCCATTCTGAGGTCTCACCCCTCACTATAACTCTCTGCTTCCTATTGCTTAGGTACTCCCTTATCCACTGGAGCGCCCTACCAGTTACTCCTGCCTGTTTCTCCAGCTTATGCATCAACCTTTTATGGGGTACTGTGTCAAAGGCTTTCCGACAGTCCAAAAAAATGCAGTCCGCCCATCCTTCTCTTTCTTGCTTAATCTTTGTCACCTGATCATAGAATTCTATCAAGCCTGTAAGGCAAGATTTACCCTCCCTGAACCCATGTTGATGGGTTGTCACGTAGTCTCTTCTCTCCAGATGTGTTACTAGGTTTTTTCTCACAATCTTCTCCATCACCTTGCATGGTATACAAGTTAACCCTTAAAGTGCGCATCACGTCATATGACGTGCTGGACGTTGTTCCAGTAAACTGCGCATTACGTCATATGATGTGTTGGAGTACTACGCAAGATTTAAACAGCCCGCGGATACACGGGGTTCACCACACCTTCCTCAGGGCTCTTGTAAACAGACGCCATTTAAAAAAAAAATCGTGGGCCAATCTCCCGGGTGTTATTGGCCTCAGTATTGAGTGAGCAACCAAGCCTGACGCACACAGCATGAGCTAACAGCACTGCTGTTCAGCTTGTGACCAGAGCATCGCCTAAAAATGCCAAATTATACTTGTTCATGCTATTATGTAGCGATGATATTATTACAGAAGACCCCTGACTGTGATAAAACTGACCAGGGTTCTGATAATAGCAGGATTGTGGTGATATTTAGCACTGTGCGCCATGGAAGGAGGTGTAATGCTGTGGGAGGGAGGCTGGTGGCGATGTCTTTTGACTGTGTGTGGCCACCTTTTATTGAGTGCACTCACCATACCAGCTTAGTGGTTCGCTATGGTGAACACAAATGTAGATACTTACATATAACGTGCGTATAGAGGGTATAAACAGCAAGAGAAGGTTTGGAGCCGCCATTTTGGTGAGGGCGGTGGCGTCGTCTGCACGACGCCACCGTGCAGACGACGGTGTTGTTTACTGGTTACCATGATGGTCTTTGGGCACCATACCAGTTTATTTGTACAAGTATGATGAATAAAACAGGTAGATATTTATATATAATGTGTGTATATAGCGTAATAACACCACACAGTATTGTTGGAGGAGAAATATTAGTGCGTCTGACCTTGAGGGCGGCCGCCGATCAGCTGACTGTGTGAGTAGCCACATCTCTGTGCCTTTACTCACCATACAAGCTTAGATGTACAGTTATGGTGAACAAAACATGTAGATACTTATATATAACGTCTGTATATAGTGAATTATAGCAAAAACATTATTTTGGGAGGAGAATGAGGGTGAGTCAGATGACTGGAGGGAGGGCGGGAGTGGCTGGCTGGTACACTGCGGTCACTCCTCATTACTTTTTGACTCATAATAGCTACTTAGTTGCAGGCGATGAGTCACAATAACGTGGCTGAAGTAAGTTGACCAGACCACACACTAGAAGTTGAAGGGACGACGACGTTTCGGTCCGTCCTGGACCATTCTCAAGTCGATCAACTTGAGAATGGTCCAGGACGGACCAAAATGTCGTCGTCCCTTCAACTTCTAGTGTGTGGTCTGGTCAGCTACTTAGTTGTTCGTTATAATGAACAAAACATGCAAATACTTATATATAACCTGTGCTTATAGTGTAATAACCGACAAAGTATTTGTTCACTGATTGATGAACATAATTGAATCAACAATATGCACACCATATTTTTGAGTACAGCGATGATTCACTCATTTTATTATATAAATATATCAAACTACACACTATTGAATAATATTACAGCAAAAAAAGTATGAAAAATCAATCAGAGACATTGAAATAATTCGGTAATTATCTCTTTGTGGCAACTCTGGCCTGACAGCTTGCGAGCAACAGACCACCTGGGACGCATTCTGAGTCAGCGCCTATAATTTGCCAAACTTCCCCGCCCTATAGCGGGCAATATATGCCACTTAGGATTTTGTTATTATTTTTCCCGTGATCAGTAAACACAAATTAACAGGTTAGAAAGAAAAAATAATTTTTTTTTTTTCAAAATGACATGCGCCTGTGGGGATGGCAGGATATTAAACCCCGAGCATGTTAAGGGTTAAGGACACTGGCCTGTAGTTCAGTGTCTCTTGTCTGTCACCCTTTTTAAATATTGGTACTACATTAACAGTTCCATACTTCTGGTAGGTCTCCCATTTCCAGTGACCTACTATACACTATGGAGAGTGGCAAGCTAA